AGAGATCGGGTTGGATTTCGTCTCTCGGCTTGGCAACGTCCGCTCCGGGAATCGCTTTGGCCAGACAAAGGCCATGGCGAAGAAGAAGCTAATTTGGGCCATTCTCGTCCCTGCGTCTGCCTTACCTGGACTTGATTGCGGATACTAGCAACGAAGGCTTTGTGTAGAACGGCGGCAAATTAGGCGGCCGACGACAGCACCAAACCAGAGGAGAGAGGCGAGAGCGTCTCTCCACATTTTTTTTTTTTTTTAGAGGAAGCAGAGGAAGAGGCTTTCCCTATAATTCCCTACCAAACAAAAACAACCTCTTCCTCTGTTGCCACCACCCAAACCCCCCTCCAACAGAGATATGTAAATAATTGGGAATGAAGCTAGGGTCTTTGTCTGCGAGAGAGGAAGGAATCCGCCCAAGAGAGGCGTGGCGGGCGGCCGGCGGAGTAGGGTTCTCGATCTTGAAATTTGGGAAGAGATGGCGAAGACAACCAAAATCCGTTTATCAATTATAGCCACCGCGACAAAAACTAGGATCAACGACCGTGCAATAGCGCCATAGATCCGGTCCTTGTTCAGTCCCTACTCAGTGTCGCCGTCACGAATCTTGATCTGGCTGTGGAGCTGCTGCCAAGTAAGTTGCGCCACGGCTGGTGGAGGTGAGGGAGGTTGGCGGCGAGGTCCAGGGCGTCTTAGTAGGAGAGAAAGTGGTGGTGGAGGAGGAGGTGAACGTTGGAGGAGAGCAGCGACGGCGGGGAAGGGTCGGAGAGGGAGCGTGTAAAATAAGTAGAATGCGGAAAACAAAACGACACGAACGATTTACGTAGTATTCCGTTCTATGCGAACGGGATTAATCCACGGAGAAGCTCCTCGGCTGAACTTTTATTATTCAACTTGTACCAAAACTTAGAGTTACAGCCACAGGCAAGGAGGATATATATATACCTCCTGCCCTAACCCTTACATCAATTTCACTTAGGGTTTGGCTTAGGCAAACTTCACTTTACTACTATTAATATCAACTAACGAAAACTAAGTCCACCACGAAGTCGTCAAATAAACCGCAACACTCCCCCTCAAGCTGAGGCGTGAATGCCTGACGTAATCCATACAACGATTTGCGAAGACGACATACTCGTGAGTCCCTCGGTCGAGCAAAAACCATCAGGAACTCGCATATAAACTTCTTCATCAAGATCGCCGTGAAGAAAAGCATTGTTCACGTCCAATTGATGAAGAAACCAACCGCGTTGTGCCGCAAGAGCTAAGACACAATGAACTGTAACTAACTTTGCAACAGGCGCAAAAGTCTCATGAAAATCAATCCCTTCCTTCTGCGTGTACTCCTGTGCGACAAGGCGAGCTTTGAACCTTTCAATGCTGCCATCAGGACGATATTTAATCTTAAACACCCACTTCGAACCAACCAGTTTCTTGCCGGGGGGCAAGTGTTGTAAATCCCAGGTACCATTGGCAACGAGAGCATCAAACTCCTGCTGCATAGCTTCTCTCCAGCATGCATGGATAACAGCTTCAGAGAACGTGCGAGGCTCTACGTGACGAGTAAGAGCAGCCGCAAATGCACGATAACTTGGGGATAAACGGTCATAACATAGCACATCATGTAAGGGGTATTTCACACATGAATTTGCCGAGGGTAATGTGACCTCATAAATATCAAGATGACGGGGTACCTGGCGGAGACGATCACCACGACGCAACTCAACAACTGGGGCTGGGGAAGACTGCGGCGAGGATGTAGTGGATGATGAAGGAGAAGAATCACCCGCGACTGGGGGTGATGAACTAGAAGGCGAGGCAGGAGGCGAGTGAGAGGACTCGCTGGCAGGTTGCGAGGAAGAAACAGGAGTGGATTCCTCCTCTGTATTCACCACATCAACAAAGGGAACCATCTCGTTCGCGGCCGGGTCATGAGAACGGTCATCAAGAGAGAAACAAGGACTGGAGTCCAAATGAACTGGCGGTGAAGCCCCAGTGCAAGCACCGTCCAAATTTTTGAAAGGATATTTATCCTCACAAAATACTACATCACGAGATGTAAACATGGAGTGAGTAGTCAAATCAAAAACGCGATAACCTTTTTGAGCAGCCGGATAACTGAGGAAAAACACATTCTCTCCCCCTCGTGGCAAACTTGGTCGAGAGAAGGACGAGTGTCTTTAGCATACGCTAAACACCCAAAAGTCCGAAGATGATTATACGTGGGTTTCTTGCCGAAAAGACGCTCAAATGGGAGTATCATTTGAAGTCACCGAAGAAGGGAGCCGGTTGATGAGGTAAGTTGCTGTAAGAACACATTCCCCCCAGAATTTGATCGGCAGGGAGGCATGAAAACATAGAGAGCGAGTTGTCTCTAATAAATGTGGATGCTTCCTCTCGACGACCCCGTTCTGTTGCGGTGTATCAGTACACGAGGTTTGTAACACAATCCCCTCACTCTCGTAGTACTGTTTAAGAACATTAGTTTGAAACTCCATACCATTATCGGCCTGTATACGAACAACAGAAGAACTATACTGACGTTTAGCCTGTTGACAAAACATCATCAAATAACCAGCAACCTCCGACTTATATCGAAGAAGATATACCCAAACAGCACGCGAAAAATCATCCACCAGAGTAAGAAAATAATGCGCACCACTCAATGACGGGGTCCTTATAGCCACCCCAAATATCAACATGAATCAACTCAAAAGGACGAGAAGTCTTAATAGAACTGGACGGGAAAGGACTACGTGTCTGTTTAGCTCGTAAACAAGAAGAGCAACGGTCCAGACCCGACTGTTTAGAAACCGAAACAAAAGGCAACAATGACAACTTCTCCATGGACGGATGACCTAAGCGAGCATGCCACAACGGAGCTGATAAACGATCCTCTCTAGTTGCGGCATGAACAGCAGCTTCCCTTACGTCATCAAATAAGCGGAGATAGTATAACCCGTCACGTTGTTGGCCCATCCCAATCATCTTTTTGCAACGCAAGTCCTGTAGAATACAAAAATTATGAAGGAAGATCAGAGCGATGGGAAAACTCCTATGTGAGCCGACTGATCGACAATAGATTACACTTGAACTCGGGAACCAGTAAAACACGAGGCAAAACCATCCCGTTACTCATGCACACAGACCCAACTTGAGCAACATTAACCGAGACCCCATTAGGAATCCCAACCCGCAAATCAGACGGTTGATAACCATGAGAAAGAAGAGACACATCATGTACGATGTGTTCATTACATCCCGAATCCAAAACCCACGAAGAAGAGCAAGAGAAAGTACACGTAAGCTTGGTTGCCGAAGCTTCCGGCGAGAAGGAGGACCCAGCCAAGAACTCCTTGAGCTGCGCTAGCTGTGACATGCTTAGTCCAGCTACCGGACTCTCACCAACCTCAACAGCTGCTGCCTTAGGAGTGGACTTCAGGCGCTCCGACCCTTTCTTCCTCCCCGCGCCATCAGGTTTAGAAGGCGGACGATCCGGCCACCCAATGAGATCGAAACACCGATCCTTGAGATGGCCAATTTTCCCACAATGGGTACACTTGTGATGACCACGACCATCCGAAGAGGACTCCTCAGAAGGCATATCATCACGAACAAGAAACGCGGCAACTTCAGAACTAGGACGATTGCGAACCGCAAGACGACGCTGATGAGCATCATTTGAAACAAGTTGGTAGGCTTCCGATAGGGTGGGCAGTGTCTGCATAGAAAGAACTTGAGTTTTTACAGTGGAAAAAGACTCATCAAGCCCCATCAGGAAGTCATAGAGGCGAAACGGGAAAACCAAGCTCTGATACCATGTAAAATAAGTAGAACGCGGAAAACAAAACGACACGAACGATTTACGTGGTATCCCCGTTCTATGCGAACGGGACTAATCCACGGAGAAGCTCCACAAGAGCTTCTCGGCTGAACTTTTATTATTCAACTTGTACCAAAACTTACAGCTACAGCCGCAGGCAAGGAGGATATATATATACCTCCTGCCCTAACCCTTACATCAATTCCACTTAGGGTTTGGCTTAGGCAAACTTCACTTTACTACTATTAATATCAACTAACGACAACTAAGTCCACCACGAAGTCGTCAAATAAACCGCAACAGAGCGGTGTACTAGTGGGAGGAGTTTCGTCTTCAGGGTCTTGAACCACTCGTTGTAATAGTCTTGGAAGAGGACGGTGGCCGGAGTTGATTTCTTCGCTATGGCGGTGGAGGGGGGAATAGGTCGGAGAAGGAAAAATGCAGCATCTTCTCGAGAAGAAGAAAAATTGGAACAAAGGAAATGAGCTTTCCATCTTTGATGGAATTGGGGAGGGGATTCGAATGGGGAAATGGATAAGGGGCTTTTTAGAATCAGAATTCTCAATCATATGTAGCAGCATATTGTTGTAAAAAATTGGTGGAAATTGTAAAATATTATTTTTATTATTTTTTAACTGCCGCGTTCCACATTTAACGGTCAACTTTTAGAGTTGACCGCCACGTAAGCAAAAGTTAACGGAGTTGGACGGAGAGTGACCAAACGTGAACGGTTTCAATAAACGGAAGTAACACCAATGGATTTAAATATTTCGAATGATCAAACTTGAACGTTTTCTGTAATCTCAATGACCAACCATGCAATTAACCCAACACAGTAATCATACGTTTCATTTAACGGAAAATATGCTGAAACGAAAGCAAAGCATCATCCGCAACGCTATCTAAAACGCCGCCATGTCCTGCACAGTGCATAACCTGGACAATAATGTGGACTAGAGAAAAAGGACGCTGTAAAGGAGGAGAACAACGCTTCTCTGCTTCGCAATCCAGTCAAAAATACATCAGAGCATACATTCTTCTAGGGCATTTGACAAAATTTGCCCCGCTGTTGAGTTAAAAGTACAGTCTTTTCTATCAGCTACGAATACAAAATGTTCTCACTCAAAAACCCACACTGCTGTAACAATTTCTCCATCACGCCACCATACAAAAACAATGGCGCCATTCAGTCAGTCAGTCTCACGCGATCGTCTTCCACAGCTCCTTCCACGTCCACCGTGAAGCTGTACTCCTGGTCACAGCCAAGGTAAGAGTCGCACATGAAGTAGAGCGTATAACTCTTCCTACCAACTTCAGTTGGAGCAGCAAATGCAAGCTTCACTTTCAGCCTCCTCTGCAGGGACACCCTCTTGATGGCCAGCAGCTGATTCGTCTCCGTATCACCGACCACCAGCCACCACCCTTCTTCCTTGGCCTTAGGGTACCTCGGGGCGTCCACCGGACCTACTACCTCCGTCCTCCCTTCCAGATCCCTTTCCAGCACGACCTGTAGGGTCACATCGTCACCCGCCCTCACGCTCTCGCCACCTTGAACCTCGTACGTCATATCGATGTTCGGATACCGGTTGCAGAACTTTGCAATATCCAGCAGCTGGGGATCAGACATCTGCAGCAGATCCCGCCTCGCGTCGTCCTCCATCTCCACCAAATCGAACAGAGTCTCTATGCTCTTCTCCTTGCACTTCCTGGCCAATTCCCTCGTTAAGTGTGGAAGCTGAAGCAGCACGGAATCGCGTTCCCACATCCCTTGTGTCACCATCTGGCTAACCTCCATTGCAAGAAGTGCGAGGTTCAACCAACCGTAGCTCGAGATGACATCAATAATTGCGTGGAGGTAACCGGCTGGCAGAAAGGAGAATCTCCCGCTGGTCGAAAGCTAGATTCTTCCCCACTGTTTGCCTCGAGAAATGAGCTTGAAGCAGAACGTGGGCTTTTGCGTGTGGGTCGCTGTACCTCGGATTCTCAAACGAGAATCTCTGGTGATTGAGCAGCCTCCGGAGCTTTTCTTCTTCCCCAGGTCTTATGGGAAGCTGTGCATACTCTGAGGCGGAAGCCAGAATCTCTAGGAGATCTTTCATCTTTGTCTTGGGAGTCAGAGAAGAGCTGAAACGCTCGATGGTCGTGTAGCTGATGTAATAGTAAGATGCTATCATGCCAAGATTGAGGGGGAAAGGTCCCTGTCCTCCTCAATTGTAATGCACTTGCTTGCTTCTAAATTGCTCAATGTATTTTCAACTAGCTCTGACAGATGATCAGAGAGATGCCTGTGACTCACACCTTGGAGATTATAGTAGTTTGGATTCTGAGTCAATCTCCTGTACATGAAAGTCCAGGTTAGATAATCAACAGCATCCTGCTTGTTCTCGACAACTGCAGCAACTATTTCTGCATTAAAATTATCATGCAGGAAATGGTGCAGGTGACTCTCAACAGGGAAGGCTTCGTAGAGAAACTTCTTGTAGTATTCTTTACGTGGTGCATGACAAAAGATTACACACTTCCCAGAGTTATCAAGCAACGGTCGACTAGCATGGCCCATCATCTGCAACAGATCGGCGACCGGTAGTCGGTGTGAGCATTTTCTCTCCCATCGTAGTACTGAGTTCCCATCACAACTACCAAGTGTGCCAGCAGAGACACTCCCAAGACATTGAGCTGCTCACAACACAGACCTGAATCCAACCTGCTTCAAATAATTGAGAGACAACCTCCTGATCCAGATCAGTCAAACCCTCGTGTAAGTAACCGACCCCAAAGGTTAGAGTGATCCGCAGAGTCTCGTCCTGAACTTTAGTTACAAAAGGCTCTAGCTCTTTGGAGGACCGCAACAAAAAGGCAGGATTCTCACTGTTGTCAACGGCAGAGTACGACATCAAGTCCTCTGCAGTGGTCTTCACGTACTTTCTTGTGGGGACATAGACGAGAGCGGGCTTGCCATTCTTTGCATGCTGAACTATTGATGTGTAAGTCGGCTTCGTCATGGCTTGCATCCTTGCCTCAAAATTCACAATATCCACCCCTTGTATGTGTATGTCTAGAGGAACAGGACGGACGCTAGGTGGGAAATTGAAGAGACCATGTGAGGTAGCTCCTATCCACTCCCCAATATCTTTAGCATTAGCAAGAGAAGATGAAAGGGCCACAATCCTGATCTTGTTCTCAATCTGACTTGCAATGTATCTCATCCTACAGACAATCACCTCCAGCACTGGACCGCCCTGACCTCCAATCAAGTGAAGCTCGTCAATTATAAAAAGACTGACTAGCTGAACATTCTTTCTTTGCTTCCAACAACGAGACAGTGCATCCCATTTCTCTGGTGTACTGATGATTATTTGACCCTTCTCGATCAGTTTCAAATCAGTAGTGGTTTCCCCAGTTAGTTCCACAACCTTAAAGCCAAGGCCTTCACCAAACTTCCTCTCCCAATCACGATAGCGCTCCTTAGCAATTGCTTCACGGGGGGCTATATAGACAGTTCGCATGATGCTATCAGGTCCCTTCTGCTGATTCCTCAACACTGCAAACTCTGCGCATATCGTCTTCCCACTCCCGGTTGGGGCAGCAACCAGGACATTGTCATCTGTATTATACAAGACATTGAAGACCTGTGTCTGGACCGGATTAAAATGCTTAAACCCCTGATATAGAGCCTCATAGGAAGGATTTCTCAAAGCTGACACTGGAAGAGGCTGCAAATCCAAGAGCTCAGTTGGAGGGGGATACTTCTCGGGTAAAATAAGGTGCCTGAAAGAGACAGGTAGAACAGTCTGGGATCCGAGCCACCTATCAGATACAACACGGATGAAATACTGAGGAGGTAACGGCTCATAGATAGGTACTGTGAAATTCAATGTGTGATCCTCATCAATATACTGCTTCTTTAGCATGAAATACTCATGGTGCAAGACATACTCGCCATCATTGTCCTCAACAATTACCCAAAATGGTTCAACATACCCATGAACTCTGTCATCCCACTGAAAATCAGGAGTGACGGTGAGCTCAACCCTCAAAATAGTTCGAGTTATCGGCTGCACGTGAGCTGCAAGATTCAGCTTTGGAAATTGATGGATGAACTTATGCAACACCCTACCCATCTTTGGGAAACGAATAAGTTCGCCAATCTCCTGTGGTGTGAGGTCATAGTACCTTTCCCACGACAAGTCTTTCTTTTCCAATTTCATAAGAATCTCATTTGGTATCCCATCGAATTGGCGAAGGGGTGTCTGCACACTCCACATCTTCTTATTTACCATATTACACAAGTTCAAAGCCTTCTCAGTCAGCTTTGCCCACCCTCTTTTCAAGACGATCTCAAAAAGTGCTCGAAGAAGGCGACCTGCACTCTGTACAATCCAAAAGAAGAAGAAATTAGTGAAGAGAAAAATACAGCTTCAGCATATGGAGCTCTAAATCCAACAAGAGCTGCTAACAGAACATAATAGTGCAAGGACCAACAAAAGTACCTGTGTTATATAAACCATATCAGTAGTCAATGACAGGCCTTCAAGCTTCAGCTGTGAGATGTACGCTTGCAGAAGAACATTGACCTTGGCACTAGGCTCCTCCAGACTCTCCTTCACAGGAATTGGAACACGGTCCAATAGCTTTGCTAGTTCCATTTTCTCATCTTGCCTCACGGTTACATACTTAAACTCTTCACTTAGCGAGAACAAGCGACACAGCTCAATGTTCCCCATCGTTGGTTTCAGATGCTCATTATAGGTGGATATAGTGCCATGAGATATATAGTAGTAGCTTGCAATACGGCCAAGGTCAGTAACCTGGAAATATCCACTTTTCCGGTCGTACTTGACCAAGTTATTCTTGTCTAAAATTGTTGCAGCTGAATGAATCTGCAGAAGAGAAAAGAAGACATTGTTAGGGCTCAAAGTATGATCCATGCAGGATGTGCACGTTCTACCTAGATGATACCAGGCACATGTAAAAGCATAAATCAAGAAAGTGCATGACCCTGTAGCAGAAATGAACAAATTTATTGATCACCACTAACACAAGTATCCAAGTTGCATAAACCTTCTGTCCTCAACAATCACATTATTATTCACAAAAATAATGTTTCACAGAAAATTATAGGTTAAGAGAAGCCCTTCCCCTGTCTAGTTTAGAGTTGCTTACTTGCTTTCATTTGTTTTTATTACCTAGGTGGGAAGGGATTTCTCGGATAGACATTTTTTCTTGTATTATATTGTCATATCTAGGATAAAAAAAACTCCACCAGACCTAGTATCAAGCATTTTAGGTCACTTCCAGCAATTGCTTAAGTAAATCCATGAGAACAGATGCATATGATTACCGCTGGTCAACACTAGACTCAAAAAAGGCAATAAATGATTCGAAGAGTTACTACTACAGACTACTTACCAAATCAGCCCTTCTCTCCTCCAGCGTGATATCTCTTGTAAGAATATCTGATGCTATACCATAAATGCTGGGATTCCTCAACATCCGGACATACAAGTAAGTATAACCAAGCCAATTGCACGCTTCTCTTGCATTCTGAACTGTACCAAGCACAACTTCAGCATTCAACTGATCAGCCAATTTGGATATGAACTGGCTTTCGATTGGAAGCTGTTGGTTCATCAAGGACAGATAATACTGCAGTTCACTATGACCCGTGATGATAATACCTTCACCATACGAATCATACTGTGGCCGACCAGCACGACCCAACATTTGCATAACATCAAGTGGACTTAATTCAGTCCAAGCTCCCTTTTCCGGATTATAAATCTGAGTCCCTTTGATAATCACAGTATGAGCAGGCAAATTGACACCCCAAGCTAGAGTTGCAGTGGAAACCAGCACTTGTATATGACCATCAGCAAAAGAGCCTCAATAATTTCACGATCAGCCCTCGTCAAACCTGCATGATGAACTGCAAAGCCATAGGGGAGAAGATCTTTAAGATCATTACTTTTGACTATATTTGTATGATCCTGGAGAATCTCCCGGCTAGCACTGTCCTCCTTCAGGAATTTTCCAAGAGTGTCATTTGTCAGTGCAGTATCTCGTATTGCTCGGGCTGTTTTAGCCGTTTCCTTCCTGGAGTGCACAAAAATAAGAGTCTGATGCTTTCCAGCAACAGCAATTACCTTCTCATAACAAAGGTCGTTCATTAATTGGAACCTCTGCAGTGGCTTCTTGACCGAGACACCAATGTACTTTTGAGAAAGAGGGACAGGTCTGTAGCTAATATTGAAATAAAAAAGCCCTTTCCCAACATCAACTCTTAAAAACAGCGCCACATCTTCATAGTTCGGGAGAGTAGCCGACAATCCCACCATCCTGATATGGTCCCTTGTTGTCTCAACCTGTCTAACAGTTCTAGCAACTATACTTTCAAGCACAGGGCCTCTGTTATCATGAAGAAGGTGAATCTCATCAATGATAAGAAGCTTAACCAGTTGGGTGTAGGTGCGATCCCCAGACTTCCTGGTAACGATATCCCACTTCTCCGGAGTGGTCACAATTATTTGAGTTTCTTCAATTTGTTGAGGAGTGAGTGTCTGATCTCCACTTAGTTCCCTCACATTCACCCCATATTCTTTTAGACGTTCGGACAAATTACCAACCACTTCAGCCACAAGAGCTTTCATGGGTGCAACATAAACTATTTTATAGCCATTATGATCAAATGAACCATCCTTGTTCCTATAAATACCAAGCTGCTGAAGGATGGTGAGAACTGCAACATTAGTTTTCCCCGCACCGGTTGGAGCACATAAGAGAATATTATCGGCACCGAAAAGTGCTGTCTGATAGACCTTACTCTGCACCCTGTTCAGCTGTTGCATATTTTTAAAAGCTGGTTGAGCCCACTCCGGCATTTCCGTTATATTCACAAGCTTCTCATCAGGATCTAAAGGTTTGGCTTTAAGTGCCGGCACATGAACTTCTTCATAACCCTTGTTCTGGTGTCTGGAAGAACCATGAGGAAGGTCACATTTCTTATTTGCCATAAAAAGACCGCCCTGCTCAAAAGCAATATTGTCCAGGTCAAGCAACTTCGGCTGGCCCTTTACCCAACTACTACTGTGTGCATCTTTCTCAACGCGCAAAGTTCCATCCCTATCATCACCATCAACAATCTCATCCTTGAGTCTGCGAGCCTCTTCTCTTATGCTTTTCTCCAAATTCTTTTGCCTCTCTTTTGCAGTAGCTCGTGTGGCATGAAGCTGTAGCAGAATAGCAGCCATATCGGAACCTGACCTTGTCATTTCCTTCTCGATGTGGTTTCTCTCTTCTTGGTCCTTGGCACGAGCTAAACGGGTGCACCAGACAATCTTCAACCTATTATGCACAAGAAACTTTATAAGGCTGAACTTCTCAAATTGGAGGTGATACACCAATTTATTCTCAACTTCCCGGTTTTCTCCCTCAGCAAGAATCTTTAGCACCTCTTCTGCAAGTGTTTGGCACTGTTGTGGGTCGATCTGTTGTTCAAAAGCCTGGGAAATCTTCCTCTGGATCCAATAAGCATCAATATCTTGAACATTTAGGTTCATGCCCTCGTTTGCTTGACCCATGTCATTATCATCAATCGCCCCACCCATCTGCATAGCCCTAGCACCATCCCGCTCAACCAAAGCATCATCATCATCATCCTCCTCTTCGTCCTCTGGAACCATATCAAGATCACTCTCTTCTTCCTCATCCTCATTGTCTTCATCAAACTCAACAGCCACGCCTACATCATCATCAAGAGCATCTTCTCCATTAACAGCAGTAGGTCCACCAGCATCAGCTCCATCTTGGTAATCCTTGATCAGGCTTCCAAGTCTAACCAGCTCATTAAAGAACTCACTGGAGATCGGATTCAACCGCTTCTCAATTTCTCTCTTCTTGTCAGTTGTCTTAGATGACTCATTCTTAAGTACAGCCAGAACCTCATCAGCAGCATCACTGACAACATTAGAAGGCTGACCACCCAGTTGATCTTGAATGGCACTAAGCATTGCTTCATATGCAGCTCTGCTTTCCTTGGTCTTGGGATGGTAGACTCCTCCTTCGGTTGAGGAGAGTACACTCTCCAGTCGGATTCTTCGACGTTTCGCTTGGCGGCTTGGAACAGGTTCAAACTGGCCGTCCCTCTCCTTCTTCTTCTTAGATTTCTTAATTCTCTCATCACGATCAGGAGGTCGGCCTCTCTGAACAAGGTCACCGAAGGTCCTGGGGTTGATTCTGCCGCTAAGAGACTCAGGCTCGCCCGTAGGCCCATGAGTATCGCGGGGGCGGGAGTCGATATTGATGACGAGACTCGAATTAGCTTTGTACTCGTACTGCTTGGACCGAGCATGAGCTTCTGCGCCACCACCGGGGTGAGCCATTGCCGTGGGTCTGAAACAGTTGGATCCGAAAGAGATGAGAAAACAGACAGCAGAAAGAAGATATAACCAAAAACTAAATCCAGCAAGGGAAACCCTAACCTTTATAACCAGAGAAGATCAACAAGCAGCAGAGATCATCTCTCCGGAAAGAATGCCAAACCCTAATTGAAATAACGAGAGCGAGAAACAATCAGGAACAAGGAAAGCAGATGACGAGTGGCAAACAACTGTGAGAAGGTAACTGGTCTGGTTAAACTCACCGAGCAGTGAACGTTGACAAAGCTACGAACTCGCCCAGTCGGCGGAGGGCAGCTTCCTTCTTCTCCGCTCACTTGATCGTCGGAACTCGGAACTGCGGCCTCCGTCGATCAGAATAAAACGGGGATGTCTGTGGGGATAGCTTCCCGGGGTTTTCGTTTTATGGCAAAAAATTCAGAACCGCCATACTGTTGTTCAGAGTCGGTCTAGTGTACTCCTCCTTCCATGCGGAATGCCTCTCGCACGTTTAGATTTTGTTCGCCTGCTCCGGCTCTCTTAGCGGGCGGCCCATTAGCATTGGGCCCTCTAGTTTCAGCCGGTTAGTTCAATTATGGGCCCCCGAAGATAACGACATTGCTTCTTAGCTGGTGGCCCAATTAATCACAGAGAAAATTTATTCAATTATTTTTAGGGTTAATATATTTGTATAGGCAATGTATATTTTTTACCCAAACCTTTTTCAGATTCCTTTATTTTAACCAAACCTATTGAATTCCTCATAATTATCCAAACGTTAACTCTCCGTCAACTTTTCTGTTAGTAATGCTGACTAAGCATGACTACGATGAGTAGGCTTCCTACGTGGCGGTTAGAATACCATTATAATTATAGCTTTCTATCCCCTCAAAAAATTAATAAAAACAACAATAAAAAAACAAAATAGGATCTCACGTCTTCTCCCCTACCCCTCACTACTCCCCCCTCCGCCTCTCACTACTCCTCACTCCTCCGATCTCTTTTTCAAAGATTCCTTCTCATTCACATAGTCTTTCTCCCGTCCTTCTGGGTTTACCGTCTCCGTCCAACACCATCACTCGCCACCCACAGTTCCCTCTCGATGGACGCATCATCCGAGGAATCCCTCCGCAGAGCTCTTACCGAGCCTCAATCGAGAAGAAGCTGCAAGCCACCATTCGATTCAGCGGCGCGGAAGGCACCGACAACAACCTGGCTTTCTTCCTTGCAAAGATCTGGCGGCGATCTCAAACAGGGGAGGTTCGATTTCTAGGTTGAGGGGTTTCGATTTATGGGTTTGGAGGGTTCGATTTTTGTTTTTGGTGGTTTCGATTATTGGGATTGTGTGGAAGAAGAGATCGAAAAAAATAGATATGTTAGGAGGGAAGAGGACGATTTGTGTGACAGGGAGTAAGGCAGGGGTTACAGGTGGTGGTGGCTGGATTTGAGGGGATAGAAACAGGTCGGCCGCCAGATGCGTCCGGTCCGATCTATACGGCAGGAAGATAGGGGTCACCATCAGTGAGATCTGTGAGGCAGATGAGGAAGAACGATGTTCTGGTTTTGTGTTTCTGGGTTTATTTACAGAGAAGAAAGGTGGGATTTGTACAGGGTTTTTACTTTTCTGGGTTTTTTCATTTTTGCGTTTTTATCAAGAAGAGATGGGATCTGGCTTTCTTGGGTTCTCTGGGATTTTTGGGTTTTTTATGCTTGTTGCGGGCGAGTGAAAGGAAAGATCAGTTCACTTAACCAGTGAGTGAAGAAGGGATTCGCCCCTGCTTTCCTCTCCTAATCTGGTTGTGATTCTTCCTATGTTCGTCTTCCTTCCCTTTCTATGTAAAAACAAATCTGGATTTTCAAACAAAGAGGGTAAGTATCACCCAATTAAATAGGTAAATAAATATATTTGTTTTAAATTTATATTAATAAAATACGTTTAATATTAATTTCCAACGTGTACGCTGATGTGGATGCTTACGTGGAGCTCCGTTACAAAAATAAGTAACAGTAACAGAACGAATGCCCAGACTTTGATCAGTTACAATAAGTTTGGATAATAAAAAGAATTTTAATAGGTTTGGGTAAGATAAAAGAATTTTGAAAAGGTTTGGGTAAAAAATAGACATTGCCCTATTTGTATGGTCCGAACTTTTCACAAATTAAACATCTTGGCCTATCTTTTCGATCTGTAACTTCGTGGTGTCAACTATGCATCAAAGTTACGAAATTGGTCAAACCTGATATTTGACCGTTATCTTGGACAGTCAAACGCGTTGACTAACGGTCAACCCACCATGTCACTGCCAAGTCAGCACACACCACTTAAAAAATTTAGTTTTTTCCACCTATTATCATTTATGTTTTTTTTATTTTGAACAAAAGAAGAAAAAGAAAGGAAAAGAAATATTAAAATAAGAAAGATAAATAGTAATAGGTGGAAAAAACCAAAAATTTAACTAGTATGTGCTGACTTGGCAGTGACGTGGCGCAGTGACTGTTAGTCAGCGCATTTGATTGTCCAAGATAACGGTCAAATCTTGGTTTTGGCCAATTTCATAACTTTGATGCATAATTGAGGCCATGAAGTTACAGATCGAAAAGATTGGCCACGGGGGTCTTCTCGTCTGATACAAGGGAGACTAGTGAGACCAAGCAAGAGGCAGGTAGGATGGTTGTTGCTGCTTCTCCAGCTCAGATTCAACGTCATCAACTCATCCTTGAGGATTCGGATGACAAGCTTGTTGCGCTAACAGCTTCCATGCATAGGGATGGGATACGGTCACAACCCCCTTTGGGGTTTGTGAGATTGGAAACCACTTCCTAACCATTGGATACGCTCTCTCTCCCGTCTCTTTCTTCTTTTTTCAAATCGATGGTTAGGATTAAAAGAAGGATATTTTTGGAATGGAAAAATGTTACCACACCCAATTATTCTCCCTCTAATATAAATAAAGAAAAAACCTAACTCCTCCCTCCCTCCCTCCTCCATCTCTCCATCAGACGTGACTGTTGCCGGCCTTCACTGCTGCCGCCGGCCTTGGCCTCCCTCCACCCTCCACAGCCTTCACCGCCCTCCACCCTCCACATCCTTCGCCGCGGTTGTCCTCTACAATCCTTCACAGCCCTCCATCCTTGTCGTTGCCTCATCTCTTCTCCTCCTCTTCGTATTTCAGATCTGAGATTTTTGGATTTTCATATCTAGTTTTTTTCTAGTGGTAGTGGTACTATGTGGAGTGGTACGCTGCCACTACCATCTTGTAGCTGGTAGTGGTAGCGTACCAATACCAGGTACCAAATGTTAGTGGTACCAAATGATATTGGTACGCTACCACTACCAGATACCAGATGGTAGTGGTAGTGTTCGTACCACTAGCGCACTGACGAAGTGGTAATTTTTGCAGGTGGCCGGAGCGAGTCTGATTCAAAGATTTCGTCGGAGAAAGTCTGTCGGTCAAGAAGTCAGCCGGTCGGAGTGGTTTGTCACAGGGCGGCTGGAAAAGGAAGAGAGAGATAGGAAGAGAGATTTGTATTTATTATAGTTTTAAAAAAATATGTATTTAATATAGGGTTTTAATTCCCAATTTATAATTAATATAAAAAAATTAATTAATAAATTCATTTTTTTGTCATACCCAAAATACCCTTGGTTGTTAATCTCACAAGCCCTGTGAAAAAACCCTAGCGAAGGCTAGTCAAGTTGGCGGATAAAGCCAAGCCAGTGGATCGAAAAGCTAAGGGGCTGCAAAAAATGAAAATGGCCATGGAAACCTCTCCACGATAGTTGTCCGTGAAGCCCCCGGAAAGGCAGGTTCTTGCCTGGAATGTGAGAGGAATTGGACCATCCCTCACATTCCAAATTGGAGTAGGTTTAGTTCAGTCAAATAAACCGGATCTTGTGTTCTTCTCGTCGCATGTGGGTATTAGGTTTTTCTTCTTCTAAATGTTTTTTTAAAGATGGGGATAATGCATCAGGAGGTCTGGTTGTTACTTGGTCCCCCGAAGTGGATTCTTCAGTGTTTTTTAATTCCAATTTTTTTATTGATATTCAAATAAATGAAGAGTTTTCGTATGTTATTTTTTTGTGTCTATCTCAATTGCTCTGCCTCGATCGGAATAAATCAGTTGGCCCAACTTCGAGGGTTATGTAAAGAAGTCCACCTACCATTTGTGGTGATAGGTGACCTCAATGTTACTCTCCATGAGAACGAGAAGGTGGGAGGCACCCCTTGGAACGCTTCTCAATCAATTGGTCTTCTTGATTTTGTTCACGACCTAGGTCACCATGATCTGTAGGGGTGGAAATCGGTACGGTATCGGTATCCCAATACCAAATACCGAAATCCCGAATACCGAATTACACCCTAAAATCAATCCCAATCCCAATCCCTAAATAATTTCGGTATCCCAATCCCAATCCCTAAATAATTTCGGTATCCCAATCCCAATCCCTAAATAATTTCGGTATCCCAATCGGTACCTCGGTATCCCAATCAGTATTATCGAATACATAATTAATTACCTTTGCAATTAATAATTAAATATATAAATGAGATTTTATTGTTTAATTTAGATCAAAGAGACTAAGCAAATAGTCTTGAGTTGCCTAGAGCTAACATCTTAAGTTCTTGTAATTGATAATTTTTAATTTGACGAATTTGAGGTTGAGAGACGACTAATACTAGTGTGAAATAGTGATGTAATGATCTATGTATAATTAAATGACACTTTTGGTGGTTGAGGGTCGCGTAGTATTGAATGAGAGAGTCTAGTTGGGAGGATAAAATACACACTAGCTTATATTTCGGTATTGATCGGTATTTCGGTATATACCGATCCCGATCCCGTAATCCCTAATACCGAATAACAATTGAAATTCAATCCCAATCCCAATCCCACAAAATATTACGTGTATTCGGTAATACCAAATATAGACAAATTCGGTACGGTATTCGGTATATCCCAAATACCGGTACCAAACTTCCAGCCCTAATGATCTGTGTTCCAGG